AGAGAGGGCTTGGCTCATCAGTAGTGAACTCTCTCAGCGGTTTCGCCAAATTAATCTCTAGACAGCTCTACTATTGTATTGGACTGGTTTTGTTATATACCCTGCAGTTTCTATGGAAGGCAGCTTAGGGGTGTTTAGTGAACTATGGACATAAGCTTATAGGTCTGTAGAGGTACATACATATCATTTCAAGGTATTGCTTGTGGTATTGCATTATGGTAATGTTGATGTCTATTAAATTAATGTTATATCAACAAATATACACACATTATCGTTTGTAAATTAAATATCACATATTGAGTATACGGTGTGAGTATACATATTGAGAATTTGAGTATACGGTGTTAAAATATTCTTGTATATTTATTTGTCTCATGTATGATGGGTTAATTCTTTCGAAGAGTAGAGAAAGACAATTGACAATTAATACACTTTTTTGACATCTTGTCAATACAAGGTTAAAGTGCAAAATCCGCACAAATTAGGAAAAAATTAACAAAAATTAAAAAAACATCAAAATTAAATATATATACAACATATAAATTAATTTATAATACAATAAAATGCTGCTTATGATTGTAGAACGACATTTGAAAATTATCCCGCACCTATCCGCATATGTCCAGGGTAGCCTAGTGGACATGGCATCTGCCCGGTAAGCAAAACACTGTGGGTTCGATTCCCATCCCTGGACACTTTTATTTTTCCGTTTATCATTACTCTTCACAATTCATCCTTTCATACCTCATCTCTAAGGTTAGAAATAATCGTTATTTCTCCTTAAAAATAAATTTCGATTTTTCGTTTAAAAGAAACACATGCGGTATAATTTGTCAAATGTCGTTCTACATATATATAACAGACTGATCCCTCTATGAAAGGACGTCTGGAATTGAGCTTCACAAGCCACCTTAAATACGGACAGCTTCTGGGTTATGTCGTGGTCACTGTCCCCAATATTCGCTATTGCACGGCCGAGGAGCTCCTCGAGAATGATCTTTTCCTCGGGTGTAAGGCTGACCAGGACATTTTCCCTATCTTGGCTGTCAAAGACCGCCAATACTATCGTCTCTAAAGATACAAAGGTCGCCTCTCCCGTCAAAATAGACGTCAAAACTAGACTCCATCTATCCCGTGTGGATCTCATGGAATAAAGTCCGCCCTAGACTGACGAGGGCCATTAGCCCGACACCCTGGTCTCTAGGTGGACGTTTTTCAGTTTGCCAAAGCTGGTGTTGTGGCTTTGTCACCGACCCGAGGCAGCTAGTTTTCGGCGACGGTCAATAGATGGCGTCTAGTTTTGACGTCTATTTTGACGGGAGAGGCGACCTTTGTCTCTTTAGATCAATATCCTCCCGGCAAAATTTCCAACTATCGTCTCTGTGTCATAATCCAGGAGACGCAGGATTGACCGAGAGAGAGAAGAAAGTTTTAGATAGATAGAAAATTCAGGAATTTACAAGAAGTCCATTGGAGCAACAAGCGGTGCTAAGCACGGCGCATATATTGGCAGATCGATAGAATCAATATTATAGCGTCAGTATTGATTATATAAGGAAACAATACAACGATTGTGATTACGGCAGGAGTGGGTGGAATATACCTTCGATTTTTGACAGCTCGAATCCTGCATTGGGCACCTTTTTTATGAAAAAAAAATTGCTTCAATTATCCTTTATTCTAGTAAAATTCCAACCACACCAGTGAGTGCAAGTAACCAAACGGAGCTTCTATCTATAAATTGAATACATTTTATAGTAAATTTTGACACTAATCTTTCTTTTCGTGTCAAAATTGGAAATCCCTACTGCAGAACTTACTGCGAATATAGAAAATTAGATGAAAGGGCTTGGCTCATCGATCAGCACGGTCTCAGCGGTGTTGCCAAATTAATCTACAGAGTGATCTACTGTGAATATCATGGCCATACATGTGTAGACATGTGGTGCATCTACAGCAAGAGCAATTTCTAAAAATCCACGATGATTATAATGGCCAGTACCTAATGTAAAGTTTCGTACACAGTTCTCTGTTCCGCTCGATTCCCGACAGTCATGAACCGGGATTGAATCCCGCGTTAAAATTTGTTTAATATGTGAATAAACTGTTCACTGTTTCAATTATCATGAACTAGGTTGCTCTTGCTGAGCGGTACCTATTAATGTGATTTTGAACCAGTTCTCTGTTCTCGTTTTTCTCTCTTTCTCCTTGTTAATATCATATGACTATTCTTTACGACCTAAAATTATTATAAATAAATATGTATAGACAATTGTAAAAGCATACATGTATGACAGTGCAAGTGTCCCTAAGGGGATATAACGCTTTAAATTGATATAAATAAAAGGGATAATTTAATTTAAAAAAGGATTGAAAATTTGCTATAGCATAGAGAAAACTTGTAGTTCATCAACATAACCACTTTAACCTTTTGACCAGTTGGATGGCTATACACCATCAAGCTTAATATGACGCATTAGAGTGCCATCTGTTGTAGGAAATTCGAACTATTATGAAAAAGGCATCTCCTTATCGTGCAACTGAAAGTTGCTGATGGCTTGCGCCATCTATCGGAATAACTATTCTCGTTGATTTTTATTTATTCCAGAATTGGCCAAATACCCATTCAGTTGCATAACTTTCAGTTACACGATAAGGAGATGCCTTTTTTCATAATTTATGCACCTTATTCCATTATCACATTTGTACTATTTTTTCAAATTCGAACTATTTTTGAAATTAAACAACTTTCAACTGCCCTTACTGTAAGGATAAAATAATAGGAGGACCTGAAGGGTTTACCACTAATGAGCCAGGCTCTCTCATTAATTTTTCCATTGCAGTATGGGCAGTAGAAAGTTGTTTTATTTCCAAAAAGAATCACAAGCGTCAAAAGTAGTTTAAATTTCTTTTAATTATCAAAGACGATCAATGAGATGCTTTTACTTTTTTAACTACCCACCTGATACCAGTACAATTTTACTTGAGTACTATATATTTTTTACATTTAAAAATTATTAATTATTTAATAAATATTGTTTTTAATATTCTAAAATATTTGAATACCTGGGAAAATTGTTCTACATTTTTCTTTATAAATATACAAGGTTATCCCAAAAGTTCGTAAACACTTGCAAAAAAATTGAAATACCAATATTATTCGCCGTTATGTATAATGTTTATTTTTATCCCTAGTACACGTGGTACAGGCCATGATAATCATGGTGGGTAGAAGTTGGCGACTGCTTTTACTGTAAGTGCACGACATGTCTACACATGTGAAAAGCAGTTCGACTTTGCACTTACAGATGTGCCAGAGCCTCGTTTGGTTACTTGCAATCGCTGGTGGGGTTGGACTTTTGCAAGAATCGGGGGCCATTGGAGCATTTTTTTAATCAGAAAAAAAGTGCTCAATGCGAGAATCGAACCCGGGTCGTAGCGGTCGAAAACCAATGGTTTAGACCATTCTTCCACCGACCCCCCATGTATAATGTCTTTGTATTATGTGTAAAGTAATTATATTATGTATTATTATGTTTTTTCGCCGTAATAATATTTTTCGCCAAGTAATAAAAAAACGTTATAAGAAAAACACGAACTTTTGGAAAAACCTTATTATCGAAATTTGAATTAATGTCAAAAATGCCGAGGGGGACCATTGAATTGACTTAATAGAACAAAACTGAATCAAATCTGTAGAACAAATTAACATGTATTAACTAACCTTAACATATTTACATAGTAAACATATGTATTTATTTACATAACAACTAACTCTTATAACCAATCACCTTGTTTATTCAGCCCACCAATTATAGCCTGAGGTAGATTGTTTGCTAATTAATTTACTGACGTCATCTGGTGATTAATTACCTTCTGGATCGGCTGCTTTATAATTACTTTGAGTTTATCATTGTGGACCCCGTAGATAACCGCCATCTTTGGAATATTCTCTTACGTCTTTTTATCTCTTTATGAGCTCAATTGTCTTAATTAGGTTTTCTTGTGAATAAATTTCATTATCTCAATATTGATTGTGATTAGCTTTTACTTTTTTTTTATCTTCATTTGCAGAGAATCCGTAGTAAATCCAATTTTTTTCCCAGACTAATCTATTAGCTTGATTGTCTTTATATAATTTTTCCTGTATATAAATATCATATTACCATTAAGGTACTATTCCTTCATGTATCCTACATTTCTGCTTGGAGAATCTGTATAAGACTAAAAGGTCTTAATAAAGCTTTTTGTTGTTGTTACGTCTTTTTATTTTGATGATTTAATAACATTTGCCTTCATCAATTTGTTTTTATTATTTCTTTATTTTTTGCCGTTAGTAATTTGAAGATGTCTACGTCAAAAGTCTAGTATTCTATTTCTAGTATTTCAAGTATTCTTCTTTTTTTTTTTATCGTAAAGTACTATAGGAATGGGAGAAATGGTCCATACTCATGGACAAACTTAAGGAAGTTGTATCTTTCAGCATGTATATCTGGATTCAGATCATAACACTCTGAAAGATATTTGATACACAGTGACCTTTATTGAAGACACACAAGATAACCAAGTATGAACAAAATTGCCTATCTCTCCTTGAAAAAAAGAGACGACAGGCGACAACAAAGACTTTCCACTTCCTTAAGTTTTGTTTATGAGGGTATTTTAAGATTCCATCTTCATAGGAAGGGACCATGATGTTTTTATGTGGCGGAAGATGGAAAACGTTCTAGAGCGACAGGATGGGGTCGAGTAGAGACTTCAATAAGTCTCCTGGACACTTTTATTTTTCCGTTCGCCATTACTTTTCATATTTTCACCCTCTCATACTTCATTCAAAAAAAGTTAGAAATAGTAAATATTTCTCTTTCAAATAAATATTGATTTTTCACAGAAATGAAACTTATGCGGTATAACTTTAAGTATTGTTTATAATCACACGCCGCAGTCCTTTATAATGTATTATAAGTTACTTTAAATATTATTTACGAACGGAAAGATACGTCCAGCGTAGCCTAGTGGACATGGCATCTGCCCGGTAAGCGGAAGGTTGTGGGTTCGATTCCCGCCCCTGGACACTTTTATTTTTCCGTTCGCCATTACTCTTCATATTTTCACCCTCTCATACTTCATTCAAAAAAAAAAAGTTAGAAATAGTAAATATTTCTCTTTTAAATAAATATTGATTTTTCACAGAAAAGAAACTTATGCGGTATAACTTTAAGTATGGAAGAATGTGAGTATCCTAATGTGACTCATTTATTATCACAACTAGAAGACCCTACCAAAAGAAGCACCTCTCCCTTTTATTATGAATCAGAAAAATGCATTATGTTCATAACCTTAATAAAAACCTTACTAGTTGTGATAAGAAATGAGCCACAATACCAGTTTTGGAAAATTCAGACAAAAATCCAACCTGTATACCATGGTTTCGGACCTCATCAGCACAAGGGTGGGTATCCTACGAAAGGGCTTATGAAATCAAAGCCATCCCTGTACTGATAAGGGCCATAGCCCAAAACCATGACATACTGGTTGGTCTTTATCTGAATTTTCCAAAACTGGTGTTATGGCTTATCCCTTATCACCCCTAGTAAAGGTTTTCAATGTGATTATAACCTTAAAATGTTCTCTTCTGGAACATGATTAAAGGGAGAGATACCACTTTAGTTATACACATATAGGTGTCTATCTAGTAAAGTGGTAGCGAGCTGATTTAAATAATAAATCAAGCATACTTTCAAATAATTAATCACGTACTCCGTAGAAGGTTTTTTCACCAATTTATTAGTATTCGTGCAAGCTTTTGAGTTAAAAATTCCACAGGCGTTTCTACTAAGTATAAACATTTTGAGGAATACGTGATTAATTAGTTTAAAATATTTTCTACAATTCCTACGCGATGGATAAATTCAAATACGAACCTATTTCAAATAAGCTTTCTACGCGGCCAGGTGGCAGAGTTCTTTGACTCTGGGTTCCATAAGTGGGTGTCCCGAATGTAAAATTGCGTCGAACGAAACGGGGAATATGTATAATTGTTGTAATATGTATAGTTCAGGGCAAATAAACCTGTTTTTCTGTATGAAAAACCTCTGTGGAACTTATTTAACGGACAACTCTCGTATATCAAATGTAAAAAGAACGCTAGGTAGATCAGAAGTAGACAATGACTACACAAGAAGTAGTTCAGATGGCATGAATTTATACTTTCAAACGTACTATGCAAATTGAAGTAGCCAGGTAGAATCCAATCTATATCAAGGGACGAAGCGTCGTTTTTCTCTAAGCATATTTTTAAATGGCAATATTCGCATAAATTCCACCCCACCATTGAGCGCAAGTAACCAAACAGGGCTCTAACACATTGAAAATGCAAATACGCGCTGCTTTCTACATGTGTAAACATGTAGTGCTCTCACATTAAAAAGCCGTCTCTCTAACTACCTACAGTCGACTCTCGATAATTTGAATCTCTCAATAATTTTAAATGTTTTCCCGGTCCCTTGAAAAATACTCAATAAGTTGAATAAAATCAATATTAATTGGTCCCCTCGGTAATTTGAAGTTGAAGGAATAGTATTTTTTCCAAAATTGAACATTTGTGAATAACTGTACAAATGTTTTTAAAAATGAATCCCGAATTTTGATCAAACTCTTGTTTGAAAAAGGACAAGACCCCGAAAACTCCCAATAAATTTATACTTTAAAAACTTGCGGTAAGCCACTTAACTAATCTTCTATCAACATAGTATGTATATCCTGAAACTGCTAAAACTTCAAACTCTTGTTTACTTGATTTTTTTTCCTCCCTCCCTTCCTCTTAGTTGTTTAAACTCTTGTTATTTTGAACTCTTGATAAATTGAAAAATTTCTCTGGTCCCTTGAGTTTCAAATTATCGAGAGTCGACTATATCATGATTATCATTGCCTGTACTAGGTGAACTTGAGGTAAGTGCAAAAGCACTTTCAAATAAAACAATAATAATCAACGAGACATATTATATATTCTCAAAAATCATTATTTGTTAGTGTGTATTCATATATTAAAGGGATTCGTCAATTAACATATATAAACCTATTTACATCATAAAAAAAATGAGAGTAAAATTAAGAAAGATTAATGAGATTAAAACATATTCACACAATAGGACGGTCTGCAAATATATCCTACCAATTGGATATGTATAATATATCCTAACTATTTGAATATATGTGGTTAATATTGTAGCAAAGTATTTATTATTTTATTAACAGAGTATACTCCTGTGGAAGGAATGACAGGTCCGAAGTCTAGAGAATAAAATTTGAACAAGAAACTTAGCCCTGGAGACTTTATTTTCTTCATAATATTATTGTTTATGTTTATATTTTGCTACTTTGTAAACTTCCCTCATTGCTTATCTTTTGTTTATCATTCGTAGTTTGTTCTTGCTTTAAATAAATTACTGTGTCATCCTGAAGTTTATCTTCCCTAATTTTCCACGTGGCATTTTGGTGGAGATGCTGGGTAAATTAGGGAGGACAAACTGAAGATCGCCGAGAAGACCTAGAGGCCATGGGTGCTGTGATCTAAATTTTCAGAGACTGACTCCAGGATTCTACCACGTGTCAAAGCCAAGACTTCTTTCCAAGATGACGATGTACCTATAGGCGATACGACGACAAAGCCGCTCTTCAAGCCGCAAGAAAAAGGACGAAAAGGTACTAGGGGCAAAGTTCCAAGACATCGATGGAATCCTTGGCAGAAGCACGTCAGATCCATGTCAGTAACTACAATAATTGCTAGGTGTGGGTCACAGCTCCCATAGGGAAGGAGCTATGTAGCAAAGTATTTATTATTTTTTTTATGTTTATATTCTGCTACTCTGTAAACTTCCCTCGTTGCTTATCTTTTGTTTATCATGCATAGATTTGTTCTTGCTTTAAATAAATTGTTGTGTCATCCTGAAGTTTGTATTTCCTAATTTTCCACGTGGCAATATAGTTATGAAGAATAATAGAGTTTTGAAAGGGTGTTTATCATAAAATCTATCTCATTAACATGATTCCAGGAAAATAAAAGGAAAACTTTACATAGAGAGAACACAAGTAGAGAATGATAAATACACTGCGTGACATTGAAAATGGAACACCAAGAAATAGTGGCCAGAAAATTATGCAAATTTCAGGGTAGACGCGCCTAACCGAGTTATGCAAATGATGTAAAATGCGCAGCTCTCGTGCGCACATGGAGTAAGATATAAGGGAAGGAACTTGCAGAAAGGACAGTATTCGTGTCGTTATTTCTTCAAGGAAAATCATTGTAGAAATTTTGTTTTTGTGTCAAAAGACACGTGTAATAACAGAGAATGCCAGGTCATCGTAAACGGAGGCAGTTCAAGCAGACAGACGCTTTTACGAGGGGCATGGTGATCGGACTGAAAAGGGCAGGTTGGTCCATACGTCAAATCGCAGCTGATACACACCTTGGTGCGTCCACGGTGCACCGACTGTGGAGAAGATGGTTGGAACAAGGAAATGTGGCAATTTATAGGAATGTCGGTGCAACCATAGTGACGTCAGCACGTGTGGATCGGCGTATCCTTCGACAAGCAGTGGCGGCCCCACAAGCCACTTTTACCGCCATCCTGCAACATGTGCAAGACACCCTAGATCATTCCATCTCGACCAGAACCATTTCCCGTCGATTGGTTGCTAATGGCTTGCACTCATGCCGTCCGCTAAGAAGACTGCCATTGACCCCACCGAATAGGCGCCAACGTTTGGAATGGTGCCGGGCTAGATCGACGTGGATGACGGAATGGCACAGGGTCGAGTTCTCAGATGAGTCGCGTTTCTGCTTGTCCAGTGATAGTCGCCGTGTACGCGTGTGGCGTCGACGTGGAGAAAGGTCCAATCCGGCAGCAATTGTGGAACGCCCCACCGTGCGACAACGTGGAATCATGGTTTGGGGCGCAATCGAGTATGATTCCAGGTCACCTTTACTTCGTATTCAGGGCACTATGACGGCCCAACGATACGTTGATGATGTGCTGCGACCGGTGACACTCCCCTACCTTCAGGGGGTACCCAATGCCCTTTATCAGCAGGATAACGCCCGACCGCACACTGCTCGCATTAGCCAACAAGCTCTGCAAGATGTACAGATGCTTCCCTGGCCACCGTACTCTCCTGATCTCTCACCAATCGAGCACGTCTTGGACATCATTGGACGCCGTTTGCATACCTTGCCACAACCGCGTTCAGAAGACGAACTGTGGCAAATGGTTGAGAGGGAATGGAGAGCCATCCCTCAGGACGCCATCCGTACTCTGATTGACTCTCTACCTAGACGTGTTGCTGCGTGCATCGCCGTCCGCGGTGGTCCTATTTGCTACTAAGCCGACGCCGTTCTCGCTCTGTATTATGACTATCATTTTGAAATAAAGATCACTTATTGTTCGTCCCTGTCTCTCTCTGTCTGCCGAGTTTCATCACTTTATGGCCACAATTTTTTGGTGTTCCATTTTCAATGTCACGCAGTGTATATCACATGTGTATAAAATAGAGGAAATATGTAAATAAATAAACTAATAGAGAATAGAACAATAGTAAAGAAAGATAAAACGATATGGGGATTTATAAAAAATCAATAATTTATTTATTATTATTTAATATTTTTTAATAATAAAATTTAGAAAGTTGTGCCTTTTAGCATGTATATCGGTATTTAGACAAAAACTCTGAAAGATATTTGATACATAGTGACCTTTATTGAAGACACACGAGATAACCAATATACACTCATGGAGAAAACTTAAGCAAGTTGTACCGTTTAGCATGATATCAATATTTAGACAATAAATCTGAAAGTTATTTGATTCAAAGTGACCTTTATTGAAGACACACGAGATAACAAAGTGTAAACAAAATTGCCTCTGTCTCCTTTAAAAAAACAGATCACAGGAGACATCAAAGACTTTCCACTTCCTTAAGTTTTGTCCATGAGTGTAAAAGAAGGACATATTAGAAATCCAGTAAAATAGAAGGAAAACGAACACAGAACAAACGTGAAGTAAAAAATCAATAAATT